AGACCGCTCGGCTACCGTGACCGGCAGTGTATAAGAATAATATATAAGAATTCAGTTCGTACCTCACAGGAAACAGATCCGAACCCACGATCCCGGCTTCCGAGCGAGCGAAGACAGTGCATGCCTTAGACAGGTGGGGCTACCGTGACCGGCCTGCACGCAGTTAGATCGCATAAGAAATGAGACTTTCAATTAATTAAGGTAAATCAGATTTACACATGATGACATCAGTGAAACAGAAGTGTTATGTATCACGTTTTGTCAAAATACTTGGAATGGCCTCAACCAAATTTAGGAAGGTCACGATAAAATTAGGTCAAGTCTGTAACGCCTAGTTCATCCACATCGCTACCGTGGTCTGGGCTCTGTCACCTGAGGACAAGTGGATACACAGCCATGAGGATTCTGGTATGTGCTTTCTAATATTTGGCACATTACGGTAGTTTTTAATTAGCATTTAGCATTTTCCTTACCCCTAGGAGAGCTGAAACTCCCAGTATTATAGACCAAACGGTGGCTCCATTTGCTTTACCCTCGCTGAGACAAGGAGGGAGCAGAGAGGGTGTCAGAACCAACCGTTCCTGACGGCGGAGAAGCAAATTTCAGCTATTGCAGGGAATCGAACCATAGTTATTCAGTCTGCGAAAAATCTGTTTACCTGCTTTGCATGAGGACACATGTATATCTTCCTTCCACCTATTCTTCTGATTACCCATCGCATATATATATATATATCCAAGGTCAAGACAGCGTAGTTCATGTTCCATGTGTGTTGACACTGTTACTGAAGAGGACAAATTAGGAGCATCTTAATTTTCTCTTCTATACTTCTCCCTGCAGGCCATTAATGAATCCAGTGCATGTATTTCATATTCTTACAGAAATGTTCTTTCTTTAAGGAATTTCAGGAAACTGAGTCCGGAAAATGTACGTTATAACCAGACACAATGAAATGGAATAGATACTTTTCCTTAACATTTTTTGTTTCGTTCCTTTCCCCTATTAAGATGTTATCTTCATTTCTTTCCTTTGGCGCTACAGTCCCAATTTGGGCCTTGGCCAACTTCCATGAAGCTCTACGTTTAAATTAGGTTTACTAGTTCTTAGACATTCGGCAGGACTCCTTGGTCGAATGATCAGCTAGTCGCAAGGCCTCTACTTTACACAAAAACAGAGGAACTCACACATACATACACAAACACCGAACATCTATGCCCTGAGTGGGATTCGAACCCACGATCCCGGCTTCCGAGCGAGCGAAGACAGTACATGTACTAGACCGCTCGGCTACCGTGACCGGCGTTATATTCATTTAAAGTAAATTTATGTGGTTTTCATTCCCATTCTGGGGACCAGAGAAGTTTCTCAAGTAAAGACAGGTTTATTTATGAGCCAAGTTCCATTTTAAGCAACTTGCGTTGGTTGTATAGGCGCACTTCTTAACTGAAGGATTTGGCGTAAGA